TTGATCTATTAAAAACATATGAATTATCTGGTATTTTATTAATATACAGGTTTTGTTCAAGGATCCTCCTAAAATAAGTCAAATATTTTTTTAAAAATTAACCACTTTTAACATCGGTCATGGCATGACCGATGTTAAAAGTCTAACTTTTAACATCGGTCAGCGATCGATGTTAAAAGTCTCACTTTTTAAAATCGGCTCTTTTAAAATCGGAAGTGTTTTTTTCACTAGTGATTTTTCCTATAGAAAAATGTTTTATTTATTATAATTATAGCTTAAAAGTTTATAGGATCTAAGATTATTTTTTAATTTGAAAAATAATTTTTTTGAAGAAGGCCTAAAGTAAGAACTTTGTTGACCTACCCCTTGGACTGATGCCATAGACATCATAAGAAATTTGTTGATGCAATGAACATGTTTAAAGTTAAAAAAGATTGTCTGATAAAGAAATAAAAAAAATGGTGATGTTAACAACCCTTCACAATTGGGAATGGAGATATTGTCAATGATGACAATTTTTTTATGTATTTTTTTTCTCCTTATTTAATGTTAGCTAAAAACATCAATTTAAGTAACACTATTATACTCAAATATATTATTATTTATGATGTTTTTTGTGAATTTTAATAATTTCAAATTAATCATGCTTGAACAACAATTAATTAATTATTAATATAGACTTTTAACTTATGTTAAGTTGCATTTTTCTAGTAAGGATCCTTGTATTTATAAGCATTTTATCCTACAAGCAATTTTTATTATATTACTGCCTCCGTTTTTTTTTATTATCTTTAAGGTTATGAATACGAATTAAGAAAATGATTGATATTTTAGTTTTTCAAAGCATTTATTACTTATTTTTCTGTTATACCTTTTAGGTGGTTAGAGAAGAAATAGGTACGTTGAAAAATGAATAGACACATGTTCAATAAACATACATTAATTATCAAGGATAAAAATGAAAAAAAAAAGAATTAATAAGTCATTAATTTTGAAAAAATAACTAAAAAAAATACTAATTTAAATGACTATGAAAAAAAAAAAAAAGATTTCATAGTACTGATTCACCATACATGAGATAGACAGCCATCTTCTTGACCACCAATCCATGCCTAAAAGTTACAAAAATCTCCACTTCGTCTCCAAGTCCCAAATGTGATATTATGCACTGCCAATCTACATCATTAAAGGAAATTACTGTGTCTCGTTTGAATATCTGAATGTTGCACTTTGTGTAATTGACCATTATGACACTAGTAAGACATTCAGTTGCTGTGTTTTCAGGGGTTGACAAATAAACAACACACAAAGTCATTCCCTTCATGCAACAATTTTCTGGCACAGTGAAATACACCGAATGTCCATCACCCGTATATGCCAACCAATGAGGATAATTGTCTCCCGGAAGAAAATCATCGCAAGATTCATTGGTTGCCAATCCCTGTAGCATGAGCCAAATAGCTTAGTCATTTATGCAATTGTGATATATAAATGGACTTCTTCAATCATTATTTTGTCATTGCAAATTAAAAAATGGGATTTTCTAAGAAAATAACAAGGTATTGAATAAATTAAAACATAGCCAATTGTGTCCATCAACAAGATATCTTTAAGATGCATTCTGGTTATGTCATCCAGGTCATTCAACTTATATTTCAATTACATTTCGATAGCCAAAGAGAATGTAACACACATGAAGCAATTGTAGCAGTGGAAATTGATTTCCTAGTGCTAAATACTCGCATGATCAGTTGGCTAATTGGTTATTAAAATAAGGTATTTCTAAATGAAGTCATTTTGTTACAGAGGGAAAATGTGCTAAAAAAAGGACTAGTGAAGTTTCTTTTAGATTCTTCATTAGGATTATCTCATTTTCTCTAAACAAACAGCTAAAATGATTAGTGAAGGTATGTAGATAAAGTTGAAGAAAGGAACCTCCGATATGCTCCTGCTGAGACTATTCAAGCCTTGTGCATAACTTCCAATGCCGATCAAATAAGACTCCAAAGAATGCTTCAAAACTTGTGATGTATATGATGTTAGTTCTGACTTAGTAAAATCCAGAATAGTTCCTAATTGTTTAGATAGTTGAAACTTTGTGTCACATTGCATCAAGACACTTCTTTGGTTTGAAAGGTTGCTAAACAATAGTGCTAGATCACCCAAATCATTATTCTGCATATCCATGGGACCTAGAGATGAAGTGCCAGGAATAGAATGAATGCGAGATAGAGGATTCATTCTTGGTGACATCCAAGACCAAATAATAGAAGGAATAAGAATACGTAACGGTCCTTCATATCCACATAGAGATATATATCCAATGCTTTTTGAGCTTACTATTGAAAAGGGAACTTGCTTCACAGCAATATTTTCAGCAATTAGAGTTGTCAAGGATTCCATTTGCACTATATCTTCTTCTAATTTGTCAATCTTCAAACAACCAGACAGGATGAGAGTTTTCAAAGATTTCAGTTTATACATCTCTCTGGGGAGATTGCTTAGGCTTGTACAATTCTTCAAATTAATCAATAGAAGATCCCGAAGATCTCCAATGGATTGGTGTACCTTGCACAAACTTGGACAATCTTTAAGAATGAGTTTTTCGAGACTAGGTAGTCCTGAAAAGTCAGGGGTTTCTATCAAGTACTTTGAATGACTAAGATTGAGGATTTTTAAACACTGCAAAACCTACAACAAGATAGTTTTCATTAAAAAAATATTAGAGCAGAAAATGAGAAATGAAATAGTGATAAGTGGCAACAATTACTATTTCAATTAACATGAGTTTTAAAAGAAAATTGCATGTATATATACCTGGGGTTTTTTCCAGAGTAGTCTAAGACTACTGTGTTTGAAATCAATTGCAATTACACCTTTCAGATCAAAGTTGTTAGGTATATATTTTAAAGCAAACCCTTGCCAAGACACCCATCTCAGTTGCTTAGAAAGATACCCATAATTTCCAGAGAGTAGTACATGATCAAGTTGCAACAGTCTCAACCCCTTCATTTCCACAAAAGCATAAGCTTCGAAGCAATCTTTGATGGTGAAACGCAGTTTCAGACTCAATCCCTGAATAGCTTCTGTCCCCTGAGATGATAAGAGCAAAAAAAAGAAATTGTTACTTAACCTCAGGCAAACCACACATGAAAATAAAAGAAAAAAAATTCGCATTCTAGGACTGTATATAAAGAATGAACTTACAGTATTCCTTGTCAATACATCAAGTACATCCTTTTGAAACCATAATCGACTCCGCTTCCCAGGTTCGATTCTTGAACTTTCACAAATGATCTCTCTGCCCATTTCTCGTAGCAAAGGATGCATTCCAAGTTTGTTGTTCTTTTCAACTTTTATGAGACTTCGTTCTATGAGAACTGTTATTCCAATATCAGCACATAATCCACAGCCGTTTAGTATCTCTGTAACATAGGCTCTGTCTTTACCTATAAAGAAACAACATACATCAAGGAATATATCCTTTTCCAAGGGGTCGCTTAAACCATCAAAGCTTATTCTTAATATCTTTTGCACTTGATAATTGGGAATTTTTTCTAGTTTTAACAAGACACTTTCCCATACTTTCTTTGTCCTCTTTATTAAATAAGAACCAAGGACTTCAAGAGCCAGAGGTAGTCCTCCACAATAAGCAACTACATTTCTTGCAAGTTCATTGAAGTCTTCACTTGGTTTTTCTTCCCTAAAAGCATGTTGACTAAACAGCTCAAGGGACTCATTTTCATCCATTTCCTCCATTTTATAAACATAATCAACTTCAAGTAGTTTCAGTAGGCGTACATCTCTGGTTGTAATGACGACTACACTTCCTACACCAATCCATTTACAATTTCCACACAATGCTTTTAATTGTGCAAACTCAGTAACATCATCAAGTACAATGAGAGTCCTTTCTCCACAAAATCTTTTCTCGATCATACTTATGCCCATGGCAATGCTATGTACCTTGACCTTTGTTCGCAGGACATCTGAAAGAAGTTTTTCTTGTAAATCAATGTGCCCTCTATTACTTGCTTCAATGAAACCTCTACGCTTGAATCTCAAGCGAATTTGATTATAGATGAATTTGGCGATGGTTGTTTTTCCCGATCCCCCCATTCCCCAGATCCCTACAACACAACCTCTCCCTGATTGATGATTAATAAAGTCAATCACTTGTTGCACTCGCGATTCTAATCCAACTGGGAATTCAGTAATAGTCAATAAGTCCATGTCTAGTTTTCGAAAAATATCCTCAACAATTTGGTCCACTAGCTCACCATCACTCCTTCAATAAAAAAAATAAAAAATAAAAAAACAGATTGAACATAAATTAGGAAAGGTCATTTACATTTACATAGTTACAATTTCTTTGGTAGCACAAATGTGTATTAATGAAAACTGTATTAAATGCAAGTTTATACTATCGAGATCTTCAACTCTAATTGGATAAACATAAAGAATTATATCTAAGTTTTGTCTAAATTGTAAATATATATTCTTAAAAGGACAAAACTTAAGTACACATATATCTATAGGTGTGGTTGGTGTTGTTATCCACTTGTATTTAATCCAAATCTCATTAATATATATTGTGTATATTATTGAAATAATTATTTTTTTTTTATCTATGAATATAATTCATGCAGTGTATCAAAATTGAAAATTAAGGACTAATATGTACTAGCAGGGTGTGGCTTCCACTAACCAAACACTATTTTAACATATACAGGAACTGAAGTAACTAAGATTCCAATTTTGATTAAACAACATCACCAAAGTTTTATCCTTATTAAAAATGTTCATTCTAAAAAAAAAGAGAAGCAAGAAAATAGAAAGTATTGACATGATATATACCTAAAATTCCTGGAATTGCAACCTGCTAAATTTGCAACCGTCGTGAGTGCATCCCTCCAACTTGAACACTGGTGGTGCATTCCTTGGAGTAAACATTTATCTACAAGTGCTTTAAAGCGTTCTCCAAAAGCACCCGTTTGATGACGCACATCGGATGGATAAACATCGTAGAATATGGGCACAACCATCTGGCCGTCGGTTCTGTCACATTGTCTAACCTTGACAAGCTCATCAAGACACCACCTCGATGAAGCATAGTCAAGGGACAAAACGATGAGGGACATCCGAGACCCTTGTATTGCTCGCACTAGTTGTGCTACTATCTCCGCTCCCTTCTCAAGCCTGTAATCGATGAAAGTGTTGATCCCCGCATTTGAGAGGGCAGCGTCGAGATGAGACACGAAAGTCTTTCGCGTGTCTTCTCCTCTGAAGCTTACGAACACGTCGTAGATCCATCCACTGTTGGAGGACGAAGACGACGACATTTAGTTGACCAAACCCCAATGACTTCAATCGTTTTTCAACTTTATTAATCATTCACTCCACCAATGAAATTGTAGACGATGCTTAGCTTACAATAACTCATTTCTTCCTATTCCTAACGTTATATAATAATTTATATTTTTAATAAATTATTATTTTAATAAGTTATAATTTTAATAATAAATAATTTTATAAATTTAAATATTAATAATTTATAATTTTAATAAGTTATAAATGAAAAATAATATTATTATGTTTATAAAATTTATATTTTTATGTAAATTTTTATAAGTTAGAAGATGAAAAATAATATTGTTATAAGTTAAATAAAAATGAAAAGAATTTTATTTTTATATATTTTTTTAATAGAATGAATAAAATTTAATAACTTAATTAATATTAAATATATTTATTAATATTAAAATTTAAATAATGACATTTATCAAACTTAAAATTAATTACAAAAAAAAAATGGTGACGGGAACTAAATGCATGACCAATATTTGGACATATCTTCCTAGTGTGACCAGAAGTGTGACAATAGGAACAATTTTTTTACACGATTATGTTGTTCTCTAATGTCCATTTCTGTTACAATCCTGCTGGACTTGGACCAACCCTTGAAAATTCTTTTGAGTTCTGGATTTGGTCACAAAGTTGGATCAATGTAAGTAGGTCAATAATCTTCATGTCGGAGCTCTCAAAATTGTCCTTCAAATACCTTTGAAGGTTGTTATAAGGTATATATGGGAGATATGTAGCTTTCAAAGTCGTGGCGTGCATGTAAGCATGAAGGAAGTACATGTGAGCAAGGGATATGAACTTTCTGGAACTTGCCATAATCACACCATATCTCATCTAGCCTTACTGTAAATCTCCCAGCGGGTCGAACTTCTCCCGGATGTTGCGTTTCTTCCACTAAAAATCTAGTGCTTGATTTGTCAAAGGTGATGACTCTAAGAGTGTTTGTCTTTGACTATGCATCTTGAATAGTTTTAGTTGCAATCTCCAAGTAGACATGTTCAGCATTAATCATTGCATCCACCTCCCTGCCTCTCTCAACGAAGTGAAAGTTCAATCATGTTCTAAACATGTGTAGCGGAAATAAAAAGATCTACTTTATGCTAAAATCACACATGATAATTAATAGAATATTTATGAAAGCAAATAAAGTTTACCCGGTTGAAGTTTGAAATTTAAAAATTTTCCTTCAAAACTATGAAGGTCTCACGTGTATCCACGCCGAGACTAATCTTTGTTTGTCAACCTCTTGACTGAGAGAAAAGAACTAATTTTTCAACACAGGATATAAGAGAGAAAAGAACTAATTTCTAAGGTTGGCGTCTAGAAATTTGTTATGTCGCTGACCACTATGATGACACTAGCAAGAAAGGATGGAAAGAAATAAATTGCAAGCAAGGACACTAGAAATTAATTCCATAACACGAGATCCTGATCTGTTCCTAAAAAAGCGATATGACTTACCAGAAGTCACACATTACAATTTTCTTTATGAATCTAATGAAGGCAAATTCCTTTGGCTCGGGCAAAGGCTCAATTTCCATGTCAATTGATTCACCATACATGAGATAGACAGCTATCTTCTTGACCACCAATCCATCCCTAAAAGTTACAAAAATCTCCACTTCGTCTCCAAGTCCCAAATGTGATATTATGCACTGCCAATCTACATCATTAAAGGAAATTACTGTGTCTCGTTTGAATATCTGAATGTTGCACTTTGTGTAATTGACCATTATGACACTAGTAAGACATTCAGTTGCTGTGCTTTCAGGGGTTGATAAATAAACAACACACAATGTCATTCCCTTCATGCAACAATTTTCTGGCACAGTGAAA